ACCTGACTCTTGATCGTCGTGTAAACGCATTAAAGGATGTTGTTCTGTTCTTGACTGAGCAAGGCCGGTTCATGGTTTGTTTTGACGTCAAGGAGCATTTTAAGGTAAGAAAAACTGAGTAAGTTAATCTTGTCGAATGGAAGGGAAATGGAGAGCAATGCAGGGCTTTAAAAATTGAATTCTATTTTCAATTAATACTACCACTGCGATCAGTATTTGTTATACAGTAAAAACCCGCCTGTAAGAACCTACTGTTTTAAGAACCTGCTGGGAGAAATGTACCATTTTTATACTCAAAAATATAAAACCTGTTTAGCCAAGCAAGATCAATCTGGTTCTTATATATATATGGATCATAGTTAAAATATGACGACCATTTTAACCAAGGAGTTAGACTCTGAGATTGTAAATTTATATTATATGAAAATGCTTAATTTATGAACTTTATTTTTTTTTTTATTCTACAACTTGCATTATGGGGATAAAACTACATTGTATACATTCTGTAATCAGTTTACTTAGGCTTATAATAATACAGTTGTGAAGAAAGTCTGTATATTTAAGGACCAAACAAGTTTGACCAAACCCAAGTTTTACTGGTAGCCAACGACTATATTTCCTTCATTGTAATAGACTATTTTCGATACATTTAAATTCATACTTGGTATGAGGCTTGGGGGAATAAAACAAAAGAAATGCATTATTCATTGCTGAGCCTCGAGATGATTTCTTTTGTTTTATTTCCCCAAGCCTCGCAGTCAAGTATGAATTATAATACATGTATATCGGAATTGGTCTATTAAGAACATGATTAGTAATAAGAACCTACTTAGCGTAGATTGCCAGTAACTACTCCAAAATATAAGAACCCTTTTTGCCAAACTTCAAAAAAGGTAGGTTCTTACGCGCTGGTTTTTACAGTAGCACATGTAACTTGGTTCGTTCTCAAGTCAGGTAATGGCTTTGAAAAGTTTATAAGTTCGCAATAACGCCATACGGAAGTAGCAACAAACAATGGAGAACTAATGTTAGTACAATGTTGGAACACTGTACAGCGTTCAAGCTGTATTGATGTTTGCGAAATGCTGATGAGCTGGTGTTAACCTCTAGTGTTCATAATTCTGGATTCGAATTTCCCAGCTAAAGCGTCGTTTGTGGTTAGTTTGCCCGCTACAGACGATTCACGCGACTGATTCTACTTGCTCTGATCAATTTACCAGCAGAAGTCGTTCGCTTATTTATATGGAGATTGGGATAAAGCTTTCATCGTTTCCTTATAAATGCTCTGAGCATTTTTTTTTGATAAATCATGGTTTGGTTTCTTTTTGTCCTCGATTAAGCTTAATTAAATATAAATTTAACCTTGTTATGTCAAATTGATGATTTATTTATGTAAACACTGCTGAGGGTAAATAAAAGAATTACTTATTTGTTGTATTTAATGGCAGTTTTTCTTTCCTTATGATGTTTTATCTCTTCAGACCTTTGCTCGTTCCACTGGCATCTCTCTTAATGGACCTGCGGAGGATCCAAAGGTGGCAAATTGGCTTTTGGATCCAGGGGCTAAAGAAAGGAACCTTCACCAGCTTGTTGCCCAGCACCTACCTGAGGAGGCCCCCCTTCTGGAAGGTAAGTATACATAATGGACCATAATTTGCCTTATAATCATTAGGCATTTTTTATTGTCCTTATTTTAGCATCCTCGGCAATTAGCATTGTAGTATTGACCTTTAGAAGAAAACGCTGCAAACCATTGTAAACCACATGGACGCCCTCTTTTCATTTCAGGCAGTGGTGGTGGACTGGGTACTGGAGGCCTGGCACTAGCATATCAGTGTCAACAGAGTGGTCGAGTGAGGGCCTGTGTCGAGTCTGTCTTGGTTCTGTCGCTGATGAACAAGTTACGGCCATTGTTGGAAGCAGAGCACCTTCTGTCGGCATTTACCAAGGTTTGTGTTCTATGTTATACAGTTCATTTGCTAACAAGTACTGAGCTTTTTTTTTTTTAAAGCAGGATTAAGATAGCCCAAGGTAAGCACGAAATTTGAATCCAGATCCGAACGTTTACAAATTGACTAGCGAATTCAGGCAGATTTTTTCTGTCTACAATTTGATGTTTGGACGCTCTGCTGTGTCTAGTTAAAATTGACAGGGAAAATGCTTTTAAACAAAAGAAACAGGAAATCGGATTAAAAATCGAACAACTGGGCCCTGGACGTTATGAGCGCTACAGTATTTTAGGTCTGTTTAAAGCAAGGACCTAGCCTCAAGTGATCAAAAGGTGGAAAGTGCTACCCACTGGAAAAATCGCCATCCAGCTGATAACGCAATTGGTTTCCCTAATAGTTTAACAGTGTATGGTGATTTGTCTGGTGGATAGTTGTATCCATTTTTTGAACAAATGGGTCAGGATTACAATGTTAGGTGCGATTGTCACAACTAGATCAGCTTTTACAGGGTGTCAAGAACGTACTAGCCTACGACTCATTTTAACTAGCCCTCTAAAAATTTTTGGCGAGAAGAATTGATAACAGTTCTTCAGTAATTCGAATTCCATAAAAAACTTCACTTGCCCGTCGGGCAATTTAAGAATGGAATTCACTAACCCCGATAGCAAAATCCACTAGCCCCTGGCTATCGGACACGTCATTATTTGCACGCTGTTTGTAGTTATTTTGGGTGTCCCTTAACTGTATGTATTTTTAGTTCTATACCATGTATTTTTTCAAGTTGCTCAACTTACAGTTCAAAATAAACGTTGTTGTTGTTGTTGTTATTGTGACGATCGTTTTCAAGCTTCTGACAAAAGACAGCGATAAATGGCTACCCGATTGCGAATGGCTCGTTTTCGTCGATGTAAATGTTGTTTAACCTGTTATTTTTAAACCAGTATCGTTGCGTCAATTATCACTGTAGGTAGAGATGCCATCTGTACTCTGCTTGGCTCGTATGGAGTTAAACGGTGTCGGTTTTTCAGACGCAGAGAGCGAACGCCTCAAGAACATCCTGCAAGCTAAACTGCGCACGCTCGAAGAGGAAGCATACCGACTGGCCAATCATAGCTTCTCCTTGACCAGCCGTGAAGACGTAGCACAGGTACGAGGCAGAAGGTGATAAAATTACCTCATTCTCTCTTTTTTCTACCCTTCGAAATCTCCTGGAATTTTGTAACTGTGTTGGGTGACTGTGGGTTGAACGGACCCTCAGTCTTTCTTATTTTTGGCATGGACTTGTCACTAAAAATCGATTGACATCATTGGATAGAGCACTCTCTGCAATTTCACTTATTTGTTCATAGAAGGGTCTATTTATACGTCAATTAAATGTTGTTGATGTCTGCGGTTATGATTACATCGACAGGAGTGCCGAAGAAGCTTTTTACAGCAATCTGCTGCAAATTCGTANCATAGAAGGGTCTATTTATACGTCAATTAAATGTTGTTGATGTCTGCGGTTATGATTACATCGACAGGAGTGCCGAAGAAGCTTTTTACAGCAATCTGCTGCAAATTCGTAAATGACATATTTTTCCAGAACAAACATTTAAAGGCGTGAGGGTTAATTCCTTTCCTATAAAAACATTTAAGAAGGCTTACACGTCCTGTAAGCTTTCTTTTGAACGTCATCTGCAACAATGTATCTCGTGAAAAAGTTGGTTATTGTTGAATGTGTTTCGTTTACAGCTAGATATACAGAGGAGCAGTTTTAGAGGATTTTCATTTGTTATTTCTAACACGTCCTTAAAGGGGCGGCTGTGTTAGGCTATTTGCTTTGTAAAAGGCTAAAACTTTGTTTTCACATCAGTTGAATTTCAAAAATAACGAGCATAGGCATTGAAACTGTTTGCTGTCGTCTGTTGCAACGGATGACCAGGATGGACATGGATTGAAACTTGGATAAGTTTAGCCAACTTTACAAGTTTTTATGCTATTCCCGCAATGTAACGGATCATTTTGTGTATGAGTAAGAGCACTAAGTAATGATTTCAGCGCAGAATTGACCTAAAACAGCAACATGCATGACAAAGCCCGTTTAACGACGGCATTTACTAGTGATTTAACCTTCCTTAACACGGCCAACAGGTGCTTTTTATCGAACTCAAGCTACCACATGATGACGATGTTCAGGCTACCAAGAGGAAGACCCTAGGCGTGACTCGGCGAGGTGCGTCACGCTCTACTAAGCACCTGAGCACTAACAAAGACGTTCTGGAACGATTGAAGCCACTTCATCCGCTTCCTGGGTTGATAATTGAATGGCGCCGCGTCAACTCTGCTCTGACTAAGGTCGTGTTTCCGTTGCAGAAGGAGAAGTGCCGGAATACAAGACTCAATATGCCAAGGATTCATTCCTTGAGTCAGACGCACACTGCCACGGGGCGAGTCACGTTTGCAGAGCCGAACTTGCAGAACGTCCCGAAAGATTTTCAAATCACTTTACCAACAACAATTGCCGAGAGTCCCCCGCCTGGAGCGTGGGGCGAGAATGCTTCCTCAAAACGAGGCCGCCGAGGAAATCGACGGAGCACAATAAATGCGAGACCTGGGTCGAGTTCGACAGGGGTGGCAGCAAATTATGCAGTGAGCATGAGAAACGCTTTTGTGTCATTTAAAAATGGCGTTCTCTTTGCCGCCGATTATTCGCAGCTAGAATTGAGGTTAATCGCCCATCTTGCAAAAGATGAACGCCTGCAAAGAATTCTTAACGGGGGAGGCGACGTGTTCAGAATGATCGCGGGCGAACTTTATCGAGTACCTGCGGAGTCAATTAAGCAAGACCAACGTCAGCACGCCAAACAAGTTTGTTATGGTATAATTTACGGAATTGGCGCCAAAGCTCTCGGCGAGCAGCTTGGTCTTGCTGAGGAGGAAGCCGCATTATTTATTGCCAAGTTCACTTCCCGTTATGTAGGGTTGAAGAGGTACCTGAAAGAAACAGTTGAGCAGTGTAAAGTACAAGGTTTTGTCAGGACAGTGACCGGAAGGAAAAGATTCCTTCCGGCTATAAATTCACCAAACCCGCATGCGTACAGCCAGGCAGCGAGACAAGCGGTGAATACCACAGTCCAAGGATCAGCGGCAGACTTAGTGAAAACAGCCATGGTGAACATCGACAAGAAGCTGGCTCTCGAATTTCCAACCTCTGTCGTTACCCACATGCATTCCTCTCCGGATTTGCATTCAAAAGGAGAAAACCGGGGGAGGCGCCAACTGTGTAGTCTCCCCCCTCCCGTTGGTGGATATTTTGTTTTACAGCTTCACGATGAGCTCATATTTGAGGTTTCGGTAAATGAACTGAGGAAAGTGGCCGAGATTGTTAAAACGGAAATGGAAAACGCTATGAAACTGTCAGTAGTGTTGCCTGTTAAAATGAAGGCTGGTCCTTCATGGGGAAATATGGCAGAATTTGAGTTGTAACCTCGAATTGTAGCTAATTGTTTCTTACCGTAAACTTTTTGTTCCCTCTGGAGGGAATTGTAACGTATAATTGCCCACTTTATTATTTACATACATTTGCAATAGGGTCCAAGAGTGAGGAAAGCGAATCAAAAAAAGTTGCGCGAAAACCGCGTGAGGACTGGAGAGAGACGGAGTGGTGGATCCTGGGATGTAAGCATTGTTTTCAATGCCTCATTCGGTATACCAACTCTTGGTGCGCTTTCCATTTGTAAGGAAATTTCGGTCAAAAATTTCTGACAAATGGTACTGGACTTGAAAGCGTTTCCGAAAAGAGAAATGTCGGTAAAAACGGGGAAAAGGTAATACCTCGAAAGGTATTACCTTTTTTCCGGAAAATTTCCACCGGAATGAAATGTTCGATTTGAATTCTCCCCGGAATTGCCCGGGTTTCCATAGAAATGGTAAGCGCTCTTGGTATAACGTATGTTTGGACAGTTTGCTTCAACGCTTACGTCAATCACTTGGCTTCGCGCGCGCATACTGCAACAAACATATCGAGCCATGTGAAACCATGCTACACCGGCGCACCTTTTGACGTTTTGACATTTGACATTTTGACAAGAAAGGGTTTTCAGCAAGTGGGCGGGTGGGGCATTTGAAAAGATGTTTACAGGCTCTCCACTTCTCTCTTCCCTCCGTTTTTCACTCTTTCCCTATTACACTCCTCGCTCGCTTTTTTCGCTCGTCCACACTGAGCAAGAGTCTTGTGAATGACAGGGCACGTGAACTCTTGAGCCAACACAAGAACATCAGAAACTTACGATAGCTTTATTCCGTCTATTTAATTTTTATATGATTTTCAATCCACGTAATTCAAGATGGAACATTTTTATACATTCTGTTGAGTAGCAGGCTCTTATAACCGTATATTCTACCTTTTGTTGAACGCACTTTTTCTGAAATGGAAATAAAAACCTTGCAGCGCATTCAAGGCTTCACTGAAATTAAAAGAAGAAGATAAAAAGAAGAAAAGATCACAAAATTATAGAGCCTTTCTTGCTTCGTTTGTCAAAGTTATGTATACTGCTTTTAGGACATTACATGGCAATAAATTTCAATTGTCAAATCAGCAAGCCACTAAGTGGTATGACTGTGGTCTTAGATTAAATTAGTCACAAATTATTATATTGAGACAATGCATATGTTTCTCTGCTGCTTGCAGTTGCTGTTCTTTGTGAGCTCACAAACGAGTTCTGAATATTTTCCTTTTTCGATCGAGCGCTTTCCCGACCTCTCCTCCAAAGTATAACTTTCAAAGTTCTTCGGACGTCTCGGTTACAGATTGAATAAATGATTGGATTTAAAATTGGAGAGAAACACATGAGACCAAAAGTTATTAAGTCGTATTCGTACCGAGACGATAGGAAAGATTTCCTTGCTATCAAATACGAACCCCTCGGTAACCAACAACAAAGGAAGCAAATTGTAACCCCTAGACAAGATCTGATCGCTTTAGTGAATTTATGTTTTATCCGTCGATTCAGTCTCTTGATCGAACACTTTCTTACTTCTCTCTGGTGATGTTCTTGAATTCTAGCCGCTAGAAATATTCTGACATAAGCGAAGATCACTCCGCCAGTTGCAAGTACCATGCAGGAAAAAAGGAAAAAACTGAATGCTCTGTCAAACTTGGTAAAGGAGATATGCGGCGAGGTCATCCAAATCACGCGAAAGAAATTCAAACAAGGAACAGTCCAAATTAAAAGCAATCGTTTCCAGCTGTTTCTTAACGCCATCTTGGAAGGGTAAGTTAGCGGGTAGATAATAGCTCGATATCTATCGTACGTCAACGCGCAAATACTGAGAAACGACAAAGAAAGGACATAGTCTACAACAGTTGCAAGTAAAAGAATCCATAGCGGCGTAGGTGAGACAACGTAATGAAGCAGTTTCCACGGTATAGCTACAATGCCGACCAAGACATCAGCAATAGCCAAGTTAACAAAATATAAGTTTCCTGTATTCCGCAGTCTTCTTTGTGTCCAAACCAGAATGCAGATTCCGGTGTTTAAGCTCACGATAATTATACTTGCTACGGCGAACCAGACGAAGAAAATGTGCACTTCCCACGAAGGAAGGTCCGGGAAAAAGTCCTTACCATACGGACTCGAGGTTTCGTTCATTTTGTGAATAAAATTTCTGTTAGAAAATCCCCTCTACTTTGACGAACCTGCAGTTAGTAAAAACTTTCACTAATCAAACCCGCCTCCTCGTGAACTGAATTTGATACGCATTTCCCCGTGAAACTTTCAGAATATAGAAACGCTTTCTTGTTTCCAGAGTTATAAACCTGGCCGGCTAACAACCAGATTGCTGGTGTTTACATTGAAATACGTAAGTGTTTTTCATTTAAACGTGTGGTGCATAAAATTAAGGCAATTTACTCCTTATGCGAACCGCACCTGCTTCATGAATGAGCGCATTTCAGAGCTTGATAGATTAAACATGCTTTCAACGACACAACCGTAACCATCGATTAAAATTCCTCGCGAAAATTAAAACAAAATTCATTTTAAAAAAGACTTATGAAAGCCCGACTTAAGATTGTCTGCCGGTAGATCTGAATAGGATCAAAGCATTTTACATTACACTTTTTTTTGGCTACATATAAACGAATATAGAACAAGATCAATAAATGTGTCGATCAATTCAAAGGTTCCAATTTTACCTAATTAATAATGTTCAGCCAATGTTAGGCGTCATAAGTGAATTAATATGCAAAGAGCTTGATTTTAATTGTTACAGCTGTCGCACTTTTGAGCTATGACAGGCTGTTGCGCCTAATTTACAATATTCTACTGAACAAAAACGTTTTCCCGAACACAATTTGAAGTTTACATATTACTAGCACAATAGTATTACTAACGTCATTCATTCTTTTTGGGCGATGAACTCAGTCAACAAAATTTTGTTGTCAGATGCATCTCTCGATGTAAACGTGAAAGTCGTGCCCTTTTGTCTACCATGTTTACAACCTCGTGCCCGGGATTTCGGCGGAACGAGTTATGATAAGAAAACTTTGTCAAATGATGTCAGAGCAGTCCAATTAATCCAAACAAACAATATTGTATTTTATCCAGTGTTAAGAAGATAAAGAATTTTCACTTAAATCCTCAATCGCTGATCTCTTAAACGTGATGTTTCCTTATTGGCGTTCATGACAGCCGCCGGCTATGCCTATAAATGTCAGTTAGAACTTCATATTGTTGCTAAAGGTTTCGAAAAATCATTTCTATTCATAGAATTTGAATCGTAAAAAAGCCATTATAAAACGATTCTCCGCCTATCAAGAAACGTTAATCAAATGAAAAAGATAATGGAAGTGTTGCCATGTCTCTAACGTGGTCCTTAAAACAGCTGAGTCATTAGTTTTTAGGATTTAGATTGTTTTTGCCTTACTTGCTCGTGACGCGATTACGCTGTTTTCCCGTTTACGTTCTTTTATGATTAATAACCACTTTAAGCCAAAGAGATGTTGTGTATCGAATGTTTCCGGGAATTTGATCTTGTTCACTCATTTGTACAGGAACTGGGCATGAATCTTAACACCATTATTTCATATACGAAGACTTTATATGAATTTCAAGATTGTCACAAGTAAATCTGAGTTGTTATTGAAGGAAACATTTTATTCCCCGAATTGAACACAATTTCATAGTATCCTGCTGAGTTCTTTAAAAACCTCTGAGACTCTGAGACATGAAATGTTTCAGTATTCAATACAGTCCGCGAAAATCTGGAAATTGTTAGTTATTTTCGTAGTGGTGGTTAGTTTATCTTAAAAAGACGACAACTGACAGTCGTTCAGGCTCAAAGGATACCGATTCATTAGTAAGGAACTTTTAAGATCCCGCGACCACCGGCTAACTATGATCTATATATCGGCTTTGATCAAACATTGGGTCTAACATTGACTCTAATGTGTTCACTGTTTAGCAACACGAGTTATCTAAAATATGCGAATTTTCATTTTAATGTTGGCATGGCATCTGTATTATCTTGGAAAACTGATTCCCATGATCATTCAGGCTATGGAACTAGAAAATTTGTTTTTGTAAGCTTGAAACCTAAAAGTTGCAGCGCAGCACGCTCTATAATGTGGTCCATGTTTTACACTTACGACTAGACTTTCGAATAAACTCAGTCTAATTTTGATAAATTTTGTCAAACATTTCTAAGAAGCTTTATACATTAACCCTCGAACGTACACGCAAATTCATACCCCCACCGTGGTACAAGGGGGGTGGGGGGCAGGGGTTGATGGAACCCCTCCCCAGAGTTTTTGATATGTTGCAGTATTCCGAACCGATTTTGCCTTTACTGGAAAGCCTTTGATCTTCTCTACAAGATGAGGTATATTTTGTGGGTGGTGGCGCTGCTGGAGGCCTGTGACGTCACCAACAATGGTCGCCATCTTGGATTTTACCAAGAATTAGCAATCAGGTTAAAACCAGGATAAATGGTAATTTTTTGTGCGTGACATGTAAAATAACACAAAAAATAAGCACTTTGCATTATTTCATCCACAAGTGTTACTTTTATTGTTGAAATAAAATGAAAAACCATGCCTTTTTATCTGGAGCCGATTACTAATCGGCTCCTGTTTTTACTCAAAAATGGCCTGCCCACCTGCTACTGATGACGTCATATCTCGTAACCATAGTAACTGAACATCACTAAACTTGTCTCAAAATGCGGGCGAGGGATAAAAAAGCAGCTACTGAAAACGTCAGATGCTGATGCTTTATCATCTAAGAAAAAAATCAAAAAAACAACCACACTTGCCCCCCCCCCGCCTCTTGTACGTCCGAAGGTTAATATATTGGCTGACAGATGACGTCACTTCTACATATACAAAAGCTGATGTCCGTAGGTATGACGCTGCAAAAACATTGTCAGCAGTAATTAGATGCGTGTTTGTAGCCAATCAAAACTAAGCTAGTGGCATCGATGCGTCTGTTTGTAGAACCTAATAATGAACTGATTGTTGAAGTGACGGTCAGCGTTAAACTGGTTTACACTCGCAACTTGCGCCTTTCCCTGATAACACAATTTGTCTACCCCATCCCCTTAAATCGTCTGCAACATCTCTTTCACACGGGTTGTCTAAAGATGTGTTCAGGCGATCAAGAAATGCTAAGAATAGAACAATTTCTAAAGCAATGTTGGAGGATCAGTAGGTCTGGCCTGGGCAGAACAGAACTCTACTGATTTCGGTTGGTTTATTTGTTAAAAAGTGGAATGGAAGTGGAATAATTAGACGAAAATTTCAAATTTCATTTTGTACAATAATGAAATTGGAAAACAAATAGGACCATCCTTGTGAATATTGAGTTTAAGGAACCAGGACGGCGACTGCTAAAGTCGTACTGCTTCAAACTTTATCGCGCTTATTCCATCTTGTTCAATTCGTCAAATGTTGGCAATTTTTGTGGAGTTGAATTCTAAAAAACTTAATCAAAGTTCAGGAAAAGAAAAAGAAAGTCGTTGTCTTGTGGTCACGTCCTCCACTAAACATGAAATTAGAATTAATTAAGGCATTTTCACGTCGTAGTCGAGCAGTGGCTGCAAAGAAATGTACAAAAAAGCGTGATGCACGTGCAAAGTTGTTGTCCGTTCCCGTTCACGTCGCCGTCGTCGTTGCTCCAGCCCTCAAGAGACGTTTTATTAGAATGGTAACACCGAAAGATCCTGAGCACAGACTCAAAAGTTAGAACCACTATACAAGACTCTATCATTCACCCTGAGAGTGAATTCGAAGTGGTTAAGGATAGCTGTTACCTGGTGATACAGTGAGAAGAAGAATAGAACAAACCACACAGCAGAATTGTAGATGTTTTTCATGTCAAAAAAATTTATTAACATTTTTTTACAGTTATAAATACACACAAGAATCGATTGCAATACAGAGAGACGGGAATTTATACAAATTTTATAAAATAAAAAGTTAACGTACTCTGGGTATTGCCACTTATGGAGTTGTGTCAGAATCACTCGAAGGATTGTACATATTTTGTACGTGTTTGCTGCCAAAGCGCAAGGTATAATATAATAGCAAATTCAAAATTTGGGATTTAGGGGCAAATAAGGTGCATTATGGGAAATGTGGAAGTGGCGTATACTATTGTTGTTTTAGACTGCGAGTAGTCCTCATTTTTCCTCAGGGATAGTAGACCGCTCGTGAAATCACCCCACGCGAGAAAGGCGAGAAGCAGCGGTAAGAGCCTTTCTCGCGTGGGGTGATTTTCACGCGCGCTCGCGTTTCGCTCGCTCTACTATCCCTGAGGAAAAATGGGGACTACTCTTAGTCTATTGTTCTTTGGAAAAACTGTTTGAATGCAGAGGTCCACGCAACATGTAAATATAACTGACTGGTTCCTCTTGCCGGATCTCTAATCAAAGAGATGCTGTAAACGGACGTCACTTAAAGTGTAAAATAAAACAAAACTGAACGCAGGGCTAGAACTATTGTTGTTGTTTGTTTGTTGTTCTTGTTGCCGCTGCCTTCATGGTCCATAAAAGCTTTCTCTTTCTGAAAAAAAGGAAAACTTTAAAGTATTCTGGGAGTTAAAAAAAAATACAAAATTTAGCCATCCACTGTACAACTTGATTTAAAACATTCTGCATTACCCCGGTTATCTCTGAGGTGCAAAGATTCGTAAAATACGGCATATATATTAACAGAACAGTTTTCTAAACACTGGGGCAGGTCGTTAATGTTTATAGAATAAGTAAGATAGGACGCGCCTTCTGATTGGTTAAAAAACCTATGGTTTATTGTGCCTGTAAACTCATAGAAAACTTAAAGTTATTTTATAAAAGCAATAGACCACACTCTCTATGGGTTTACCGGCGTGATAACCCACTTGGGATGTTTGGAGAACACGAGAAAAGCTTGTAAATCATGAGCCGAGGGCGAGTGATTTACAAGCTTTTCTCGTGTTCTCCCAACATCCCGCGTGGGTTATCACGACGGTAAACCTGTAGAAAGTGTGGTCTATTGCTTAAAATAAAACAAAAGGCAGAGGCCCCAAAATTCAACCCTGGGGACGATAAAACGGATGGATGAATCCAGACGTGACAAAAATGGGCGGAAGAGAGAACTGCTAACAGACTCGCTCTCCCATTTTTCCTGCCGCCATTTTTCCCGGTTTCAAAAATCGCGCCAAAATTACCATTCCAGGAGCCTGTGTGAACAGTATACTATCCGGTAGGGTTTTTCATTACAGGTACCGGTATATAAGTGTGTATACATAGCCTTAAAAAGGATCCATCTCATGGAGCACTTTGGTTACGAATATATATTCCACGCTGACCATGCTACACTCTTAAGACTGACAGAGACTGGAAAACTTCTTATTTTTGTCTCGACATTCAGGCCACAATCGCCATCTCGTGAAACTGGATAGCCTTTCAGGGGCGGATCCAGAAAATTCAGAAAGGGGTGGCCGGGACACTTTCCAGCCAGCTACATAGATACTCTTTATTTTTCTGAGAATTGTATTAAAATAATAAAAATTCAAACACTGAAAGGGGTGTCCGCGGTCCCGTCGGCCCTCCCCAAAATCGGTCCTGTTTTCCCAAAATACCATAATACTCTTTGTTATCCCTCCAAAATTTTGTATAAGCATTTTTTTTTCAGTTTCTCTTGGGCATGAGGCGTTTGTAAGTCCCAAGAGAAATTGAAAAAAATTATGCTGAAAATTTTGGACGGGAAATAGTGTAAGAAAATGCGATGAAAGTCCCACTTCCTGCCTTGCACGTTTAGAAAATAAGCACGCTGGAAAAATTTGCTTAAAAGGACTGTTAATAAAAATCGCTTTGTCATGTCACGTTCAAGAAACTGAGGGGATACAGTGAATAGTTACCAGGAAAAATATGATTTACCATGGTTGTGAACACGTCACGGAAAGACACGGAAATCGATTGTTTCGCAATGATGTGAACTATTCAAGAGAATCAACAAACACTCAAAAAAATCCCAGTAGAATAATAATAATAATAAATAATATCCACAATATCGTGATCTTTGAAGAATTAAAAAACAAATCCAGAAAAAAAGTGAAAAAACGGTGGTACATGTTCCCAAGATTATGAGTGCGAATGCGTACGTGACAGGAGACAGGACCTGCGACATATGTGACGTCATATCACTTCAACACGAGACCGAGGCAGTATATATTCTCAGTTTTACACTCGTTCAAGAAGAGATAGATAGTCAGTTTTCTATGCTTTTTTAGAAAGAAAGTTTCGATATATTTGCAACTATGTTTACCAGAGGTGCTGTTTCAGCCATGTCTCTTTTTCGAGGATCAGAGTCAAGGATGTTCCTTGCTCCTCTGAGAAGTATTTCAGCTTTGAGCAACAGAGCGTCTCTGCTTCGTCCAAGGTTACGTGTTGGGAGTCGATCGCTGAGTAGTCAAGAAGCTACATCAGGTAAAACTATTTTCATTAACTTTCTTTTAAGTTAGTAAAGCCTATTAGTTTTGAGCGATGTTTCTTATCGCTTCAGGCTTACTCGTAAAATTAGCGTGATGATCTGTTTACATTCACCGTAACAAAGTGAAAAGTTCTTCATGTAAGCTGTCGTACATTTGCCAGATAACCATTTGAAAGAGACAGAACATTAATGATCTATGTATAGCAATTATTTTTCTCTTTTACTTCCTCTTGTGTGTCTCATGCCTTCCCACTCACTCCACGTGTTGTACAGGCTGATGGTATGTTGAACTCCCCTTCCTGCTTCCCATACCCTGCCCTTCCAACCTTTGTCTTCCAACTTTGGCCCTTTGATGTCTGACAGGAATGTATAACTTAAAGTAGTAGTAATATTTTATTTATCAACCAAATTTTGTACAGTTTCCTCTATTAACTAATGACTTAAGTACACATGCACACAAAAATGAATGTATCAACAACAGATAAATTTGAACTTTAAAAATTATTCTCAACCAGCTGTGTTTTAGAACTGGTTGCAATTTCCAAAGTCACAAATTAGGATACATATAGCAGGGGCACTCAACGAGAATATAGTTCAAAACCACTTAAACATAGCATTGTTAAACGTATTTTAGTATTTAAACGGTAGAAATAGGCATATTTTTATCCCCTAAAAATTTTTCATCTGTTCGGATTTCCTAGCTGAAAGTCTCGAGATCCAAAAATCATAGGGATCAAAACTAACCTTTTCGAAAATTTCAGCCAGAAAAAAGGCTCCTGAAAATTCTAGGTGAGCTTTTTAGGGTAAAAATCCGTTAAAAATGGGCAATTACACCAATTTTTAGATGTTCGAAAATCCTAGGAGAGGTAGGCAAGCAAGAAATTTTACAAAAAATGTTCCGAAAATTCTAGATCTCAAATCGTCTTCTGAACAGATATTTTCCGAAAATTGACGTTGTGTGCCCCTGATATAGTTACATTTATTTTAAATTCTTTAGTAGAGAACTGTTTTCATCTACCATAGAGGCGGAAGGACAGGCAATGTTCTACAGTGGACTTGATATAGTTTGCTGTATTTTGTTTTAGGATCTCAAGTGCCTACTATGCATAATGTAACAACTGTGGACAGAATCAGCCTCATCTTAACAAGAACTATGAAACCACCAATACCATCTGAAGTTCCGTAAGTCTGATTTAAGTTTACTGGACAGGGCTGTGTTTTAGCAGCAACTGGAGTGCCCTGGTGCCTGACTTTTGCTATGAGTAACTAGGAAATCTCAGTCAGTTTTTGCATGTAAGTAATATGCTGGGCACCCTGGATTTCAGGTTCAGAGCATTTGGATCCCTAGAGTTTTTTCTTAGAGCACAGCCTTGCTGGAATATCAGTACCCATATTCTGAATACTGTTCTTGATGCATTTCTTTTGTGAAGATTCTGTTGGAAATGAAAATTATTCTGTAAAAATACTTTTTTACTTTATCAGATGATGCATCATTTTCTGAATAAAGAAATTTGTTCTAGATTATGGGATATTGCATATGATTTTTAAAATCAATAGCAACAAATCATTATTGTGCAAAATCACACCATTGCCTAACATCAGAAGCCCTGGATAGTTAAAAACATGGGAAAGAAACCTTGTGACAAGGAATTAGATGAACAAAATCAAAATTAATCAGGACGTTACATGTCGATAGAAATCGATCATTGGAAAGCTAATTGACAAGTGAACAGTGCTCAATATTTGTCAATAATTATTGCCTATTGATAAAAATCAATAGGACAGGTAATCAATTTTGATAGACTTCTGAAACTTTTCAAAGAATATCTGTTGTGGATTTATGCAAACTTTATGCAAATGCTGCATGAGGAGAAGGATTTGGATGTCGGAATTCTTCAAACACAAATGGATGCTACTCGTTTCAAACGGATAAAAAACCATTCAGATAGAGGAGTTCTGGCTCATAGTTGCATCATGGATAATCATGGCAAGATGGTGGGAAATTCAAAGATTTGTTTTGGAATTCAAAGCTAGCTAATTCTTCCTGAATTCATTTATTAGCCATGCTGTTCTCTTTGAAAACAGTAACTTACAAGTTCAAAGAATTGATACACTAAATCTGGAGTGCAAAGAAGTCCGTGATCAGTTTTTAGAAAACCTTGATTTCTCCTTACATTTTCTGTGATTCGACAGTATTAAAATTAGATGAGCATGAACTCCTCTATGAATGTTGCAAATGCTCAACTAGACTGTCAAGAAAGTCCTTCATTCAGTTTAATAATGGTGCAAACGTTTTGAACCGATGTTAATATTTTTCTAATGGATATTGAAACTGTTGCTTCTGATCCTTTTTATCTACCAATAGTTTGCAGAAAAAATTGAACTCCAACACCAATTTTGATAAAAATCAATCATCACACACAATTTTATGATCAACTTTTATCAGTTTCAGATATCTGTCGATTGATTAGTGTCAAAATTATCAACATGTAATGTCCTAAATCCCTCTATTACTTCTTTTAACAGCTTATGACTGAAGGCAAGTCTCTTTTATCTTTTTCTTTATACAGGGTGACGACAATGGAACTTGCAAACAGTCGTCGGCGTATAGTCGTCAATGCCACAATGGGATTCCTGTTTCTATGTGGTTCTGTCGCAATTATTCAAGAATACAGTAAGCGTCGCAAGGAGCATACATTGGTGTCACTTCATAACAGAAATGTGCAAAGATATGAAAAACTGAAAGAGGAGGAAGCTGCCACTGAGACTGGAAATGAAAAGTAGCTGAGAAGTGATTTATTACTTTCAAATAATAATTTATTTTTAACCCTAGGTTTTCAGCAAACTACAGAAATGACTGTTTGAAGCCTAGCTTTAACTATGATAAACTACGTATTTTAAAAAGTTTAATAAAATTCTACTAGTTTAGTATCACAAAGTATGATCTGATTGGCTAACATACTTGCTATCAATCAGCTCATGGATGGCAAGTAGATCAAGTCAATCAGATGACTGGAAACTGTTCAAATAGCTGTTCTCCCGCTAGCTGTGATTGTTCAAGCTGTTCTTTCTCCCAGCACTTCTTGATTGAAAAGAAGGACAGAACTCTTGTCTGAAATGCTCTGGATAAAAACACAAACACGAAGAAACCTTTGTTCATTGTCAAGTCCAATTCAAACCCTCTGGGAATAAAACGTTTTGTTTCAGGAATTTCCATATCATTTAAATGTGAATGACACATTATAATGCAAATACAATACACAAAGAATCTTATCCTCGGGAGATTTGAATTGGGTACAACACTGAGTTAGCCGAATAGGTCTATTCTAAATGTCTATTGGAAAGAAAATTTTGGTGCATAAAATACAGTAAAAATCTGTTTACAAGAACCTAGATTTTTCCAACTTAGCCTAAATAGGTTCTTATAGAAATGGTAATTAGTGGGATTTTAGGCTGCTTAGGTTCTTAAATAGGTTCTTAATTTGACAGGGGCACTAGTGATCAGAACAGATAACTACTACATGGCATATGTGATATGGAATATATTGCTGTATTAAATAATTGTCTAGAATACAGTTTAGATGATAACCATACAGTAAATGTATCTTTATTTTAACTGACTGAAAGCTAGACTAAATTTTTTTTCTGTATTTTCATCTCTGCCTTCATTTTTGTAAAATAAGAACCTAATAAAATAAGTTCTTATAAAAAGGGGGTTTAAAATGAAAATTAAATTGTAGGTTCTTATACACGGGTTTTTACTGTATTGTATGTGAAAATCGGCTATTTTTTGCTGTTGAATTTCCCACGTCTTTTTTTTTGTAAGTTACACATGCTAGGGGACAGTGGCAGCATTACTAAAGCACATATTTTTTTTTTTATTTAACATGGTAGCGCAATGAAAGTTTAAACTGAACTGCAAACAGCCATTGAACTTTGGTACCATTTTTGTGCACTAAAATCTTCTTTCTGCAGGCTAGAAAAGCACCAAAATATTTTCTTCCTTTAGAAAATTAATATGATTCAGTATGAAGGTCGATACGTTAACCCTTTAAGCCCCAATATACACATACAAATTTTCGAAACTGATCGCCTACATTTCCTTTAAGAATTAGTTGAGAGAATTTAATAAAAGATCAAGGCACTTTGTCTTTGGTGATCATTTTATTAATTCTCATAACTTTATCTCTTGACATTGTATGGACATTGTTGGGAGAAAATTGATGTTGGTCATTGTTGGGACTTAAAGGGTTAAGAGAGCAGAGAGTGCGTTTTAGAGTGTGGTTTGCAGCAACATAAGTTTAAAGATGTCTGTGACTGTGTACAGTTACCCCTTTCCTCAAAAGAAAAAGTCAGGAGAGAGAGACCGATTTTTTAAGAGAGGGNTGTATGGACATTGTTGGGAGAAAATTGTTGTTGGTCATTGTTGGGACTTAAAGGGTTTAGAGAGCAGAGAGTGCGTTTTAGAGTGTGGTTTGCAGCAACATAAGTTTAAAGATGTCTGTGACTGTGTACAGTTACCCCTTTCCTCAAAAGAAAAAGTCAGGAGAGAGAGACCGATTTTTTAAGAGAGGGGACGGATGTACACGAGCTATGTGTGTTTGGTAATTCCGTTGGGAGATTAAATATTTTAAATTTAACAGCAGTCTGTTAAACCGTGTGGTTTTCATTATAAGCTTTCAGAATGTTACTTACTTTTACTAAGAGAACAGCCCCTGAAAGTAGAAATGACTGTCGGTTTCTATTTTAATAAGTCATTGCATTTTGTTGGAATCATGTGACGAAACGAGTTTACAAATTGTGTAATTTTATTCAAACTCTCAAGTGAAAGAATTATTTTAAAATAAAGTAGTATACAACTGAGAACGTTCTCAAAAACCTCCACTACTGACTTTTTCCTGACTGTAGACGGCTGGCTAAACCTTAGAAGGGGTCTTAAACAAACTTAGAAAACTTTTAAGTTTAAAAGGGATAAAATTGATTCACTACATGTACAACCTTGCAAATGAGGCTCTCAGACTATCTGTATGGGTGCCTGCGGACTTCGTTTTCTCCGCGCGTTTTCAATCAAATCGTCGGGCTTTCAACGAAATCGTCGCAATTCAAGAATCGTTTCGCTTGGTAACGCCAAAATCCACGACGAAGGAAACGCGAAAATGAAGAAGCAACAAGTTGTATTAAACACTGTGAAGCACACGTTTTGGAAATGTTTCGCCATCATCGCACGAGTAACGTTGTAAAACTTATAGGAATAGCAATGTGATCGTCGCTTTAATCTTTAAAATTCGTCGCGACTTTCATTTTGTCGGAAATACCCATAGAGAGTCTCACAAATCACGTGTTCAGGGACTTGATAATGAAAGGTTGTCCTACAAGTAAAATTCCAACTAATTTTTAAATTAAAATTAAAATAAAAAAAAATAAATTAAAATTAAAATTTGTCTAAACAATTCGGCATTGTGCACATCCTGTACATCCACATCTTTTTCCACATTTACATCTTTTTCTTTTCCTTCGCCTCCTCACACACTCCGTCATGGCATCCTTGATGGTTTGTTCCCCAAGAAGTGTATTGAATTCATTCAGTTTTGTCAGGCGATCAAACGGCTTCTCAGGGTAATGAAAGTTGAACGTACTGTACGCACCCTTTGGATCTTCAAAAACAGGGAAGTCTGCGAATTTTTTCGCTTCAGCAGTCTCGCGAGGAACTCCTGAAAGAAATTGTCAGCTTCATTTCACTAAAAATTGATGTTTAAAACGACAATCTTCGTCGTATTATTATATTCAAGGATAACTGTATCTGAACTGTAAAATGGGGAAAAAAAAGTAACAAATTAAGGCTACGTTCAGACAGTACCGGTGGAATTTTCAACTGGTCGAAAATTCCTACACTTAGGTGTTCCGTTCACACGGAACTCCTAAAACCGTACGAATATTTGAACGCCACTCCGTTCAAAAATTTGAGCGCTAAAATCCAGGTCAAATTTTTGACTTGTACGGTCGAAAATTTAAACGGAAGGTATTAACACTGTGGCCGGCTTGCTTTTTGAACGGTAAAGACGCGGTTGCATAGATGCGTGGTAACTCAGCTGGGAGACGCCATTTTGGATTGCTTGAGCAGCTCTCGGCGCATGGGCAAATGGTAAAACCTCTGACAAAAGTTAAAATTCAACCTGGTTCGACAGTTCCGTGTGAACAGCGAGAATATATTGAACGGTTCCATGTGAAACGAAGTGTCCGGTCCAATTTTTCAACCGGTCGAAAATCGACCGGTACCGTGTGAACGTAGCCTAAAGCCCGGTGCAAACGGACGCAACATTGTTGGCCAACAACTCCCAACCGGAGTTGTTACGTCCGTTTGCATGTAGCTAAAAGTTTGACCGGTTTCAAACTTTGCGCAACAACTCACTTCAACGCGCAACAACATGAACAGGGTGTGCAAACGGATGCAACGTGCAACATCAAACAATGTTGGGAGTTGTTGGCCAACAATGTTGCGTCCGTTTGCATCCGGCTTAAACGTGATATTACACGGGACGATTCGCAACGACGATTTTCAACGCAACATAGGGTTCCAATGTTGGCACAATGTTGCAGCCACTTACGATTAGCAAAACAACAACTTGGCACGTGCAACACGCTTTTTTGTATATCTCATTTGCTTTTGTTGCACGACTAGAGCGTGAAGAACCTCCAAGTTGAGGTGATGTTACACGGGGACGATTCGCAACGACAATTTTTAGTGCAACATAGCATTACAACACTGTTGCGACATTGTTTTGAATGGTTGCAACATTGTTACAACATTGCAATGATGTGTTGCGCTTGAAATTGTCATTACGAATCGTGTGGTGTAATGTCCCCTTTACGGCGGACGTGAACACGAGACAACAATTTTCTTTTTTCTTTTTCTGAGCTTAGGGCCTGTTTACATGGAGGTGTGGGACCCCAGGTAAGTGAGGTAACATGTGGCGGGTCACCCCGCCTAACATGTAAACGTCATCACATTAAAATGAGAGATTATATGCACAGGCGGGTTACCCTACCTAAGCGGGTTACCTCACCTACCTTGGGTCCCCCAACTCCATGTAAACAGGCCCTTACCATAGTCTTTAGTATCAACTCCAGAAAAACTCGCCAGTTTTTGACAAATTGAATGAAATGGAATAAGTGTAAAGAAGTTTGAAGCAGTGCGAATTCACTTTTAAGTGACGTTTTCGATGCTGTTGCCGTCATGGTTAGCTGAGCTCCCCATTTTCCTCTAAACACGTCCCTTCGCGTGAGACAGCATGGTATTTAGCGTAGTGGAGTTGGACTATGTTGCTGACAATGTACCCACAACAACCGTATTCCTTAACCTATCCTAACTGAACATGTGCCCTTTTATGTTGACAGAACTTTAAACAAACCTGGACTGCTTTGCTCTTTGAAGGTCTTATTACAGAGCACGAAGTGTACAATGACAGGACAAGCCAGATCCTCGGGATCTTCAAACACGTAAAACTCTTTCATGCCGTGCTTCCTGTATTGTTCGTCAGCATTGATTGGAGGAAACTTGATCTTGTTTTTCCTCGCCCACTTTTCTGCCAGTAAAAGTTCCTAAACGACGCAACGGGTATTAGATCTATATTAGATCCTGCTAGAAAACAAAATAATTTATCCTTAGGGAATATTTACTCTGGCGTTCATGAACTGTAAAGGGACCTCGCCGAAATGGATTTTCTTTCAAAAACAAAATCTACCGACTAAGGAGTGTTCGTGATATTTTTAACATGGAAACAACATATTGTTAAGAAAAACCGGTCTTAGACTGAAAATCAGTCCGTGTTTTTGCGTCTTCAAGTACGTACGAGTAGAGTCAAGCAGAAGGTCTGGAGCGAGGCTTGTGAGACGGGCTTGTAAGACTCTTACGCTACTCTTAAGCTTCGCTAAACCGATCGAGAAAAAAATCGACTGTTTTGCACTCTAGTCTTAGAAACCCACAATGCATAGAACATGCTGGACCGTTAGGGACTGTTTTTCTGTACAGTATGATTAAATAAGGGCGTTACCTCAAAAGGCATTTCGTCCTCCTTCTTTCTTGCACTGAAGTCAAAAGACAGCAAGAGGTCTACATTTCGCTGAGGCCTGAGTACCATGGGATACGGAGAGTTGAACGAGAGTCCACTAT